GGGGGGGGGGGGGGGGGGGTTAGCCTCCTACGCAGAAGCTTTTAGGGCTCGTCACACAATCTTCCTCCCATACTTGCATGACGAGCCCTAAGAGCCTCTGTGTCGGGGCTTCGGGGGGGGGGGGGCTAACATTAAAAAACTTTCCAGGGGGTGGGTATGAATATGGAGCAACAATAATACTCAAAATTTTACTGTGCAGTAATATATTGAATATTTTGAAATAAAGAAATTAAGTCCGGGCAGTTACAAACTATTTCAATCCTGATAAGGTTAGATGTGTTGTTTCAGAAAATATTTGTATATCTCCCATGGCGGGTTTTTTAATTGGAACCCCCTTCCCCAAAAGTTTCTTTTGGGTTTTAGCTCTTGTTTTCCTTTATTAAAAAACTTTTGGCTCTAAAAATTAAACTTCTCAACCATTTGGAATTTCCAAATTATTACCTTTTTTAGAGTTCGTATTGATATTTTCTGGAACACACAATATAAATAACATACCTGACCTCACTGTTAGCTTATACAATAGAACTAACAGATGACGAACTGATCAAACTGTAGATTTCACTTGGCATTTTGAATATTTATTACTATTTAGTTTTGTACCACACAACTTGTGTGCAACACTCATCAGATAAAATTTCCAAAATATGCGAATTTAAACTGTTACACTGATATAAAAATATTATACACATGCAACCATTGGAAATATGGTAGCTAGAATAAGTGGATGCTTTTACTTAAGCAATAGACCACTCTCTCTATGGGTTTACTGGTGCAATAAACCATGCAGGATGTTGGGAGAAAAGGAGAAAAGCTTGTAAATTACAAGCCATTAGGCGAGTGATTAACAAGCTTTTTGAGTGTTACTAGACAGAAACCATGCAACCAATATTAATAAATAAGGTGGGCTTAACCAACTTGATTCAGCTCAGCTGACCCCACAGAAAGAAATAGCATCAGAAAATTAATTTTTAATCTCTATCCTTATGATGCTTTGAGCAAATAACATAAGGAATATAATGTAAATAAAACTTAACCTGCATATTAACAAGTCCCAATAGTTGCATATAGACTTAACACTAACCCTTATACCCTTTAATTGGTGTAGGCCAAGAAGATTGGGTGTACAGGATTAATTTTGTGTTATGCAGTTCCAGAAAATATCAAAAAAGTCCAACCCAGTTGGGAACTGAGTTACTGAAAATAGCCAAATTTATCCCCTCCCACAGAAAATGTTATTGGTTTGAACCCTCTCACCCGTTTGAAAATTCCAATTTATTGTTGATAAAACTTCCCTCTGAAGACAGTCTCTCCCTCAGAATTTACATTATGACTTGATTTCTGAGGATTTGGCGGGGGGGGGGGGGGGGGGAGGAGTATGGATGTTCTTGGACTGCATATTGCACCTTAAGCCCATTAGCTTTTTAAAGGAGAGTATGAAGGTAAATATTTCTGGCAGGCGAGTGGTGGCCTCATGCAGTTAGTGCACTCCACTCCGGATTGAACAGACTGGGTTTGAATTAACCCTGGCTGGCAACATGTTCTGTTGTGTTCTTGAGGAGACACTTTACTTTCACAGTGCCTCCCTCCATCCAGGTGTATAAATGGCTACTTGTCAACATAATGCTGTGGGTAAAACTGTGATGAACTGACATCCCATTCAGGAGAGAGTAGAAATACTCCTCGTCACTTCATGCTACTTAAATCAAAGATAAGTAAGCGCAAAAAAAAGCAAATTTAATGTCAAACACAGGGAGTGCTTGTGCGATCACCCGAGCCAGAGGCTCATGATAAATAAGTGCTGGTCTAATGGCCGCTTGGCTCATATGCAAACAGCAAATATTTGAATTTCCAAGCCCGGGGACAGGAGGAATCCCATATAAAAAGGACGGGGGTGCTTGTCATACCATTTAGGGGTTAAAACAGCAATTTTGATACCTCTTAGGGTGTTCAGCATCAAAAAGCCCACAGCGGGAGCTTTTGTGGTACCTTTAAGGATATTGAGCCGAAAAAAATGTGACTGGAGATAAAGTGTTGTTTTAGAATTGGTACCTCTTAGGGGTGAACAAAATTCTAGCCATATGCACACAACAGGATCTTGGTATTACTTCTTAGGGGTTCTTTTTGACGAGCATCCCCCTATTTCTATATGGGAGTCCCCCCGGTTTCTAAGGGGATGGATGAGGGCTGGGGGGGGGGATAAACCAACTCAACTGAAAATGGGTTTGTGAATGTCAGACACAAGAAATGAATTAAATACCCTGCCTTTTGATTACCGCACACTCCTCGATGTTTTCCTTATGAGACTACCGGTACTGCACTGCCAGCTCTTGGTCTTTTGCAGTGGATGAGTTGCAATATAGCATGGCGAAAGTCTTTGTTCCTCAGAGAGTAAACCACTGGATTAATCATTCCATTACTACAGGTTAACCACACACTGACAACACCCATCTTCTCTATAATACAGGATTGACTTCCTATTGCATAAAAGATTTCCAGAATCAAAACTGGTATCGATACAATGACCAGAAACAAGAATACAAAGCCAACAGTTTTTGCCATTTTAACTTCTAGTCTAGTTTCTCTCACAGTTTCTGAAGTATTGATGCTTCCCTGATGCGCCTGGCCATGTGACAAAAGTTGTTGGCGATTCTCCACCGCTTTCTTGTAGATCTTGTAGTACAAAGCACAAATTATCAACAACGGGAGAGCTATGTGCACCGCCAGAAATGCGTAGTAAAATTTATAGTTTACGTTCCATTCATATGTTTTACCCGATGTTGATTCAAAGGAAAATACTCCCATCAGTATAACCACAACCCCTACGTACAGCCAAACCAGTGTGGTAATCACCAAGGTTCTGCCCCAAGATACAACTCCTCTGTAGCGCACGAGAGACATGACTGCCCTGTAGCGATCTACTGTGATCACCAGCAAAGTGACAAACGAGCCTGCTATCGAGAAGAGCCAAACCGAATTCAAGACATTCGTTCCCACAGAACCCAAAGGCCATTCTGGATAGGACCAGACGTATGTCATTTCCAGTGGTATCAGCCCGAGTGAGATGCATATATCAGTCAGCGCCAAACTCAATAGGTAGCCATTGGAAGGCCTGCGGAGATTTTTATCGACGCTAATGGCGACGGAAACGACAATATTCTCGGCGACGGAAAGCAAAATTGTCACCACGAACAGAATAGATATAGGAATTTGAAAATCCAAGTTGAATTCACAGCTTTCGGTTTCAGTAGTTTCGTTCGTTGGGTGGTTCATCTCTCTAGGAAGGATATAAAAAGAGCTAGCAGATGTTCTCACCTACTCGAGATAACACCGTCATAATAACATCCATTACGTTCATTGATTAATTGCCGTTGATTTCTTAGAACTGATTGATTGTTTACTTCCGTCCTTGCTGCGCCGGACTGAGAACTCCATGGGACTGAGAGCAAGTTTGTTTCTTCCAGGTTGAAGGTGGGCCCAAAGCCTCCCGGCGATTGAGCCCGCGCTCCTCCTCCTTCTTGGGGACGGACATAAATGGTGGACTGGACTCCAGAGAGCGGCGGAATAGGCCACTTTCGATATATTAAAATTCAGCTTGATAGTGAGGCCTAGAGGACATCAAGCTATGATCTTGGCAACAACTGATTACAAATTCTCTTCTACAGTCAAGAATTCCATGGAATTGTTTGGTATGATCATCGACGCTGAAATGAATTTCAGGGAGCACCTTGCTACGATTTGTAATAAGATAAACAGTCAGTTCAGTGCAATGACGAGGTTTGGTAAACTTGTTTCCAGTGACACTTTATTACGCCTATACAATGCATTTATACTCCCGCCTTTTCATCACTGTTCAAATGTCTGGCGTTTCTGTAACACTCGAGATTCTGATAAACTAGAGACACTTAATAAGCGTATCTTGAGAATTATTTTCAAGGATGCAGGTTTAGACTATACACAGTTACTCAAAAGAGCAGGAATAACAACTTTATAAAATAGGCATCTGCAAAATATAGTACTTAATCTTTTTCTTCCCAAGCCGTCTACAGCTTCCTATGGTCTAAATTCTTTTCGTTATGTTGTCTCGAAACTCTGGAACTCGTTACCTGAGAACCACAGAACAGTAAGTTCGTAAAATGACTTCGAGCGGTGTTTCAATGAAGAACAGTGTTTTGCGTGACATTTCGCGTGACGTTTTATTATTGATTTTAATAGTTTAATATTACACTTTCTATCAAACATGATAACATTGATTGACATTGCAATTTGAGCAGCTCGATCTAGGAATCGTTTCAGTTAGTTTTACACGTGTCGGAATGAACAGCTTCCCATTTTAAAGGTTTTTTACAGTTTAATTGGACTCTGGAATCCTGTCACGAAGTGAGTCAGTTTAAGTTGGTTTTTTCCGTTTTCTAAGGCTTTGTTACTTTAAGTTGTTTCCTTTGATTTCTGGTAGTGTAATTTCGGTAATCGACCGCATGTGATTAACAATTGTGTAATACCGTGTGGTTTACTCAGTGAAATCTGTTCACGTTTCTTGGTTGATACGATGTATTATGGCCCTTTATTTTCGGTTAGTTGCTATTGTTTAAGTGTATTATTTGCTGTGTTTATTTCAGATCGAATAAAAATCTTATTTATACGATTCACGGGAATTCAGAGTCTGGGTCATTTTGGCGGTTTTCGTCCGACGGACCAAGCGGCTTATCCGCAACTATAATTTTATGCGCAAATTTGTAGGTTATCATATTCTACAAATAATAATTAGGTTATATAATATATGCATAATTATTTAGCCATGTAGTATTTTTAACCTTGTACTTTTTTACTTTTCCTCGAAGACATTAGCTAAGTCTAGCTAGTCTGTAGTCTCCTTCGCAGCCGTTTTTTGGGATGTCACGCAACGCTGCGTGACATCCCAAAGAACGGCTGCGGAGGAGACTACAATCTTGGACAAAATAAATGGAACATCTGGACCACCCCTCCCCCCATTTCAATGATGCCAAAATGGCGCGCTTTTGCTCCTTCGCGCCTTCATCATTGCTTTGGGGGGGATGGGGGATAATTGTTCCATTTTATTCTGTCCAAGATTGTAGCTACTCTGTAAATCAGAGATTAAATAAAAAGTATGTATTTATATATTTATGTATATCTGATGTGTGTATGTATGTATGTAGAACGAGGAGTGTGAGACAATAAGTACTAGTGCTATTCACAGTAGAATATCATACCGTTCACATTGCCTGATCTAACTTGTAACGTTTAGGTAATTCATTTAACGAAGGGGTCTTGTATGACTTCTTCTTAGGCTCCCTCGCCACTTCACAAGTTTATTTCTTCTTCATCATCATCATCTTCTTGTGTAAATGCTTTTTATTCTTTATTCGAGGGAAATAAATAAATAAATAAATAACACCACTGAGATAAATTTTCCTATGTAAAGCGATCGCTGTATGTAATCAATGCAAATGCATTCGCCCTTTATTGATTCAGCCTAGTAGTCGCAGAAGCTTCGAGGGAAATAGTGCGAAAAAGTCACCCGAACAACGAGCAGATCCCTCATTTGGTTGGTTGTAGATGTTTCTGGCTCGATTCGTGTTTTAGTGACCACGCAACGCAACGAAGAGATCGGTATGCATAATGTCAGAAAGATAAGAAATGTCATCCACGGCCAGTCCGATCAATGTCAAATCTTGTCATAAATTTGACGTGCGAATATTTTCGTTGGGACATCATAAAAAAATAAAGAACTGGATCTGTCGTGAGAGCGGAAAGGCGCTGAGTAAGGATCTGCTTGTTTCTTCCCATATCAGGAAAACAAAAGAGCAAAGCACAATCGGACAGTGCGCTGCGTGCATACAGTTAGACGATTCAAGCACTCTGCAGCATTATGTGGCAAGATCTTGACAAACAGAACAGGGATACCTTCGATAGGTTTCTGGAAATAATACAGGTTGGAACAAAGAAAGAAATGGATACTTTCTTGTTTTGTCTATTTACAACGGATAAGAACGAAAACAAATATAGTGAATCTCAGATAGATCCTTCTGAGAAACTTAGACACGCCCTCAATGATAATAATCTTGTTGAAGCTTGGAAAGTCATGGTCGAGGCCAACGAGAGGAAACTCAGCCAAACACTTGAAAATCTCAGTGAGGTCTGTACAATCATCACCAAGAAGAAGAGCAGTACAGAAGATGGGTGCCATCTCAAATGTAAGTGGGATTCTCAGAAAGTGTATGAAACATTGAGGAGCTCAATATTTTGGATTTTTAACTGTGATGAAGGCGACCCAGAAGAAGGGACAGAATTGCCAAGCGAAAAAGAACGGAGATGGATCGATATACTCAGCAACCCACTGTACATCAGTCTGGAATGGCTTTGGAGAAATAATCCCAATTCCCAGTACAAGAAAGGAATAAGACGTAAAGAAAGCAAGTCTACAGACATCATTGAAGCTGTCCTAGATGACGCCTATCTCCTGGAGAAAATCGCTTCGTATGAGCGCCACCACAAATACTATAGTCGAGATGACTACAGGCAACGGGCGATGGAATATGAGAATTTTGCTATTGATGTCGTTGAGCAAGTATCAACCTCAGAGTTAAACCAGCTTCACGAAATCATGGACATCAAAGGAAATGGTTCTTTACTGAAAAAGAAGCCTGAAAATTTTCATCAGAGCCTTAGTCTCCTCAGGATAGCTGCTAATAAACAACGAAGATCGGTTGGAATACGCTTTAATTGGATTCTTTTTCTTTTTGTGAAAGAGTATGTCCCTGATTGTGGAGTCAAAAAATATACCATGAAGATACGTCGACTCCTGTTATGAGTATATGCACCTGTTTCGGAGGCAAAATGCTCAATATTAGTTAAACTTACTTATATCAGTACCAGTCATCCTATTCCATTTCTTGAATGCCAAAGTCATCAGAGTGGTCTAACCAAATAGTTTCAAAATATGCAATTGTATAACGATCTGAGAAACAAAAAGTTAATATCAGGGGTGTCGAGTCAAAGGGTTATTACTTTGGAATAAATGAACACCGGAAGAAAGGAATTCGCGGAGAGGAGAAAAAATTACTGTCGAACAGTAGCACTTTCACAAACGGGAGGTTTTCATTGACGCGTTGATTAATTTCTTTTTTTTTTTTCTTCGAGGACTCAGAGCTTTGGTGATAATTTATGCTAATTTGTAATTTAAATTCTGATCGTTTTCAGTTCGTGGCAAGTCCCAAATGCCAGTATGTTCTCAACGAGATCATTTATCGTGGATGGCAAAATTGGCGAGATAATGGCTTAGTGAGGAAAACCCTGTGGCTCTTTCTTCATTTCTTTCTTGTGGCAATCACTTGTCTCGTGTATATTCCTGTTCGATTGATTCGGAGGAGCTGTTGCTGTGGAACACTTCAAGACAATTGCTGCTGGAAGTTAAGGAAGTTGTACGAACTTCCTTACGCCAAGTTTGTCAACCACACCATATCGTACATGCTATTCCTGAGCCTGCTTTTCGCCTCGTCCTATCGACACGAGATCGGCGCAAACCAAACAGGTTTAGTGTGGATTGGTAAGTTTTAACACTGAAACCTTGCCACTATTTAACAGTCCATCGCCCAGGGCCATTCCGTTAACTGTTATCATTACTCTCTTCACTGCACGAAAAAGGCATTATCCTCCTCGCCATAGAATCCTAGTGCATTCAAAGCGCACGCCATACATGATTTTATTTTTATTGGAATTTAGTTTTCTATATTTTGGGGGCGTTTTTAACAAAACAATTATTCCACTCCCGCTTGCTGGATATGAGATGATCATAGCTACGCTACGCGCCTCGTCAATTATCATCTCACATGCAACGCGCGCTGGTGGAATAATCATTAAATATACGATAATATTATAAAAGAGAGTAATGTGAAAGTTTTTTTGTAACATTTTCCAAAACCAATTCTCGATAGAGACGTGCACTTTTTTAAATTTCATTCTCAGACTATCCGGTGCTTGGCTTTGTTGTTGGCTTGTTTCTTCAGGAAGCCTTGAAGGCCAGAAGGCAAGGATTCTTGAATTACATATCCAAATGGTGGAATGTCGTAGACACCTTGATTGTCTTTACGTTTCTGCTGTCTTACACAGTGTGGCTGAGTGCATGGGGGTATTACGGAGAGTGGAAGCCCAGAAAATCTGCATTTATTGTGGCTGATAGTATTTATGCCAGCGCCACGGTGATGGCGTTTTTCCACTTAGCCCACGTTTTTCAAGTCAGTTCAGTATTGGGTCCTTTGCAGCTGTCACTTTACAAAATGCTGAAAGCTGTTCTCAAGTTTCTCGCCATCTTTCTGCTCCTCTACATTGCATTTGCTACTGGGGTGGCCAAGATATACACGTACTATGTTGCTTCGCAGATCAAACTACGAGAACTGGACGAAAGTCACGGATACAAGGCGTCTCATCCATATGGCAAGTACGTGTTACAGAATTGTATTAAGCCACTGATTGTAGGCTCAAATGAAAGAGGTATAATCAATCAGTGAAACAAAAGGCTTTCTACCCGCAGGAAGCCCTGCTATAAAAATGGCGTTGGTCCTTCTACGACATTCTGGAAAGTTAAACTAAAAATTAAAGGTACTATCGTTTTGTAGGCGTGGTTTAAAAGTGCCAGTTCTAAAACAACAAATTAATTGACATTCATTTTTTTTATAGTTAAAATAAAGACGATTCTTTTAAACACAACACAGCACAAAGATTTGTTTGCCTCAATGCCTTAAAAGGGACCGAAATAACTTTAAGATTTTAACACCGTAAACGGTGTTCGAGTTGGTTCAACTCTATATAACGTCGGGTAATAAGAGCTCAGCCACTGAACTACGCTTAGTTAATATATTGCTTACTTTGTTAAATGCTGGCTTGATTAGGTTGTCGATACGGCGTCAGTCGCCAACTACAGTCTCTCTGAGAGCACCTTTGCCGAACAATAAACAGCCCATAATCCTAGACTTAAGGACTGTGACTACTTTTATTTGTACGCACACGTTCTGCGCCTCACGCAAGGCATAGTGTTGACATAGGGTTGACATTGACGCAATCAACTACGCTACCAAGTACATGACGAAACTGAAAGCAAAATGTTCCCACTGGCCCTACTGTGACCAAATCAAGTTTAATGAACCTGTACTTAACCGAGGAAGACCAGAATAGCAGCATATCGCTAACCACTAACTGTTAACGTCTTCCAGCTGAAAACTAGCTGTTATCTGTCGGAAATTATACTGAAATCTAACTGTAAACATGAACCTGCAGATGGCGTAGTGCGCGTGCAAAACAAGTGCGAGATACGCAAATGTCTTACTTACTGGGGAGCTGAAAGAAAAAAATGTAACGGGCACCGTAAAAGCTTTCAGAAAAGATTAATAACTTTAAAAAACGCGTAGTTACTCCAAGTTTATGATATGAAATGGAAGTGGCAAGCCTATTCAATAAGTGACTAGTTTCTGGCGGTGAGCAAAAGGTATTTAGGCTGTATTTTAGCTGAACCAGAGCCGGAAAGGCTGTCACAGACGCTAAAAGCGCTGTAGCAAAGATTTTGTTATAAAAAACATACCCCAAATGGTTTTTATGGTAACATTTACCATGCATTTCAGTTTAAGATCTTTATAAATGTGTTTGCTTTTCTGTATGTAAAGGCGAATTCTAAGGAAATCTGTGAAGAAATATCCTTTCCTTCTTTTTTTCAGAAAAATGCTGATGTCAACATTTTTGTTGCGATTCAGGGCTAATTATCTCTAAAAAAAATGCGTGGCTACCCCAATTTTTCTTTGTGGATTCCAATAGCCCATGCAAAGATCTACATTTTCCGCGTGATCCTAACCTGAGGCAAAAACCTTTGTATTTATTAGGCACCGTCCTTACACCATTTACTTCTGATAAAACCTTTAATCTAACACATGATTGTCTGTGGTTGCTTTCCAGACACTCAACGACGTTCATCACAATGTTTTGGATGTTACTTGGTACTGTGGAAGACGAGAAAATCTTAGTGGAAGATCCCGCCTTTTCACTCACGTCCACATTTGGTCGCATTTTTATGATTGCTCACGTGGTGTGCACCGTCATCGTAGCTTTAAACATGCTGATCGCTATGATGAATAACTCATTTGAGAAGATCATGGTAAGTTTTCTTCCGTGCATCCAGATTGTTATAGTTTTAAGTTTGAATAAAAATCTTTTGTCAGTTCTACTTCAATGAGATGACCTTTATTTCCTTCTCAGGAAAACTCAGATGTAGAGTGGAAGTTTTCTAGGACTCAGAAGTGGCTGGAGTGGATCGACCAAGGCGACACGATTCCAGTGCCTTTCAACATTGTGTATCATTTTTTGCGCTGCTTTTTTCTAAACTGCCGTAGACCGTTTTGCTGTAAAGAGGTACGACGACTCGCTGTATTTAATTTAATACGGGATCCTGGGCGAGTTTAAAACAAGGAATGGGGAAATGACGAAACCACACTTGACAATGTGTGATACGCTTAACCCATACAATTATCGAGAGTAACCATCGTCACGTTAGTGATATTCAGGCTAACTGGAGCGCTATTTAGGGTAACTATAGTGACATTTCGTCATTTCGAGTTTTAAATACGTCCCAAAATCCTAGCCTAGTTTGCCCATTGTAGACTCCGTTATTTATCGAGGTCATTTTGTTCAAGTCGGCAATTGTTTTACGTTCATCATTTAATGATTGAAATCTGGCGACAACATACAACGATAACACTTCAAATTGGCTTCTTTTGTAATCTGCCATATGATCATTTATTTCAATTAGAGACGAAAGTGCCCAGAGCGAAGCAATTTACAAGTACAGTTTGGTGAAGCACAAGACTGTGTTCATGTACAGGTTAGTTATTAAACAGTCGTTTAAGTAATATATCAAACACGACAGACTGTGTTTCACCAAGTTTCCAAATACCGAGAAAAGAGTTGAAAATACGACGAGTATCGGACGAAGTATTTTTTACGAACTTAGGTGCTTGGAAATGTAGTCAAACGCTGTCTTAAGTGTTTGATATATCTTCTGAATCGAAACTAAAACTAGGGAGAAAGCGAGGGAATCAAATCGTAAAAATCTATGCTAATCCACACACCGTCACGTCACATGATTTCCTTTGTTTAAACTTGATGAATTATTAATGAGTTTAAGAAAAATAGTTATCATAATGCCAACTCACTAATTCTCTAAAGTTTGTGTCTCCTCAGCTAAAATGAGGTGCCCCTTTGATGAGGAGCTGATCCAGGACAGAATTCCAACATTAAATCAACTGCTGACTTACAACTTTTCACTAATGCTCTAGGTTTTTCCTTGCTGCTGCCCCTGTATTTGTTCTGGTGGTATCCGCAGGTGCTCATTGGAATGCACCAACTCCCTGACAGAGAAAAATTCCATCGTTAGAGAGGTATGCTATTCACGTGCACTCTGTATTCCATTTTTCTTTTTCTCGAAATTAAAAAAAAAAAAAAGAAAAAAGAAAAACAACACACACATAATTATTTAACTGAAGGGCTACATCTTAAAAAGGTCCATGAGTACGGTAGGACGGTAGCAAGATAGTCAATAATATCTGATACTTTGGCTGATCTCTAAAGAACTTTTACCAATTAGACTAGTTTACCATTTATTCAACAACTACATTCAACACCCTCTATCCAATGGAATGACGTCATGGATAAAAAAATCATCTATTAATCATTTTTTCACGGTAAAGGTTTTAATCTTCAATTAGCAAGAAAATGTGAAACGGATTTCCTCACTCAGTACTGCTACGACTGAGAAAAAACTCCCCGCCAGCTTTTTCAGTGGAATCAATCACAACCTTTTTTCTTTTTATTATTACAGAAACGCATACAGGTAATGAGAACACTGGTCGTGAGATATCTGAAAGACAAGAGGAATGGCTACTTAACAAGATGGAAGGAACTTACTGTACAATAATCACCATCACGTCGGGTGGCAGATGACTAAACAATCATTTTAATCATTGATTCGTGGCACATATTACCAGCATACCTATTTTAAGTACTTCACGTACTTCAAAGAAACGAAGCTTTTTTAAGATATGTGTTTTTCACAAGCTGGGTTGTTTTCATACCTGAAAACGCGAATAGTGCAGTTATACATTCTGTCCACTTAGAATTTAGAAGTGACAAAGTAGGCGTTGTCAATTAAAAGGGGGGGGCGCATCTTATCTATGTTTTGTGTAATTAATTTGTTAGTCAGTTAGTTAGTTTGGATTTTTGTTTATTTTTTCTTGTAGCAAAGTTATATTTTTGCCTCTTCGAAAACAAAGTGGCTTATAGTGAAGTAAAATAATATAACCTATTCAAATGTAGAAAATGTAGTCAAAATGTGTATTGACGCTCCATGGCGTTCTATCCACCAGGAAGATGACACTCAGACCAAACAGAAACAAGTGACTTTGCCTTCCTGAGTGTTCATATCAATCTGCAACCTAAGTCAGCTGTTAACCATCTCTTTTTAGAAATTACCAAGTTAAATTCAATCTCGTAAACAAAATCTAGAGGGCAATGAGGTCCCAGTACCGCATACGCTTCATTCGTGGACTGTTCTCTACCGCTGAATTAAACGCCTTATATTTTGATGAGCTGAATTTTACTAGCTGTGTAATCATCCACTGTTTCTTCGTAGGCAGTTACAGGATGTGATAATCGCTGATTTGTTTGTTTGTTTTAATTCTTTTTACCATTTATGAATATACAGTGGAATCCCGATTTCTCGACCCTCCATTTTCGAGCCTCCCGATAACTCAAACCAAAAGTCGTTTCCCCTCCTCAATCAAACGCTGTTAATATTTTAGCTCCGATTTCACGAATTATCCGATTTTTTGAACCAATTTTCGTTTCCCTTGGAGGCTCGAAAAATCGGGATTCCACTGCATTTACAAAATATCAATGTATAAGGCAAGGAAGCCCAGGGAAGCCAATAACGCTTATGTAAAGGACTACCTTAATACAATTAAGACTTTAAAAAAATAATAAAAATGCTGTCGTCGGCACGCAATGCTGTCAATCAAGCCGACACCACCGTAAAAATGTATAAAAAAATAAATATAATTCTGATCCTAACCTTGAGACTTGGCCTCTGCAATACCACTGCAGAGCTCTACCAACTGAGCTATTAAGCCAACTGGGACTTTTGGTCACGTTGTGAGTTCGTAATATGCCCGAAGATCACTGAAGATATACAAGTAAATATATTAAAGATCGTCCATTTGAACTACTCAATAAAGATTTAAAGCTCTTAAAGATCGTTACACTGATATGGTCTTATGTACGCCGGACACTTTGGTAGTCGAGAAGATAGAGACTGAAGAAAGGTTCAGGCTTGAACGGGATTCGAGCCCATGACCTTCGCGACTGTATCGTTGTAGCGTTTTACCAAATGAGCCATCAAGCAAACTGGGAACTAGTCATGCTGTAAGTTCATATTATACCTGTAAATGGTGAAGATGAAAGAATTGGTTCAAACTTAGCGTGCGTATATCGAGTTATGGATGCACGCGGGAAGTTTGGAGCAACTCTAGCTTCTTGAGTGCTCTCCAAACTTCTCAAGTGCAACCATAACTCGATATACGCACAGCTAAAAGCATGAACCAATTCTTTTATAACATGGCGACAACATCCTGGGCGCTAAAACATGTGTTATTTGTGATTGACTACAAAGCTCTCACAATGCACGGTGAAGGAAAACAAAGGTCATTAAGATCCTGAAACGCCACAATCGGTTGAGCAACAGTTGAACAAAAACGCTTAACCTGGTTTCTAAAACTGTCGATGAAAAATTCGCTTCTTCGAATTAATTATAATGAAAATGTAGGCAAACAAAGTCAAAAATACTTGATGAGAGTGCACACAAAAAAATCAAAATAACCAAGTTTAAGCAAACATCTTAGCTTGGCAAAAGTCAAAGGCTCGAAGTAGGGTTTGGATTGTTGAGAATAATCTTCACATTGCCGAAACTTAAACAAAAGGAACTTGCACTAAACTCGACGGAAATTATGCAGCTAAATTGAAAATGCTCACGCTATCTTATATACGCACGGCCGTGCGTATATAGTGATTTTGTTCATGATGGCTCAATAGGAATTAGATAGGACTAGCGCGCGCGCTATGTTATGAATGAAAGTGGAGATGAAAGATCATGTACTTGAAGTGGGAGAGAGAGATTTAAAATCATGAGCATATGTACACAACTTTTGAGTTGCTTGCCGCTAACTGGCTAAAAGCAATTGCGAGACCATTGCCTGAAAAGGCTCGAATAAGATTCGAGCTCATGGCCTCTCCGATATACCGGTGTAGTGTTAATGACATTAATCGACCGTAAGTTAAATTTTCATTGGCTTTTAAACAACTACAACAAATGTGTGGTGGAGTAACTTAACCAAACCGCGCTCTAAGGAAGTTGAAAATTTTGGCCGAGGGTAAGCCATGATCCGGTATTTCGTTTTAGCGTTTTATTAAAATGGAAAGACAAGAACTGAATTATGGCTTAATTAAACTGCTGACCAAGGAGAAAAAGCATGTAAACAGTGCAAGTCAAGAACACTTTTCTGATGTTCCTTGTAATGTAAACAAAAATGGGCACCTAAAAACTAAGTTAATTATAGGTGCGTCAGCGCCTTTTAAGAAAAATAACTATTTTAGTTTTAAAATTGTAGTCAGTTGCAGTATCATCAAAGATCACTCAATAAATTACATGTAAAGGAGCCTCCAGCTTCAAAAACAGTGTAATAACAGTTCTTCTTTGAACAAAATTGGTCGGTTAAGACATTTTCTCTGTTCAGTTACTAAGACACCTTATCTTGACTCTGAATTAGTTGGAAGCATCCCAGAATGACCAAATTTAATCAGGTGTCTGAGGTCACAGAGATAAAATGGAAAGAGGTCCTCACAGCTGTTCGCGTGTTTAGTTAGATGATACGGGCAGTCTGTGAGTAAATGGAGAGTAAATTAACTTATTCTGTTACATGTATGGCAGATCCCGTGACACATTGTATTCCTTCATCAAATGGGAACTAACTTTTATAGCCGTGGTTCAGGTAACTGCAGATTACGCTTTTTTTGTAATTTTTTTTTCGACTACCCTAATCAAGAAAACAAAGACCTAAATGCCCTCGATCAGTGCTTTTTGTGACGAAACGTAACAAAGGAAGCACAGCAGAATGGCGCACGAAGTTTCCCTCACAGATGTCCATCTGCAGACGAGCGACACCTTTGACAGATTTCTACAAATAGTGCAGGAAAGAACAAAGGAAGAGGCGCATATTTTTTTGCTAAGTCTGATTGAAACAGCTGAAAACGCGAGCGATTCCAAGAACAATCCGTTAAAGCAACTGGCAGACGCCCTCGAAGATGGTAACGTCGTTGAAGTTTGGAAACTCATTGCCAAGATCAACGAGGATGAAAACAACCAGACACTTGAAAATTTAAACGAGATCTGCAGAATCATTGTCAAGAAGGAGAACAACAAAGAAAATGAGAGTCATTTCAAGTGCATCTGGGATTGCAAGAAACTGTGCAAAACAATAAAGAACTCATTCTGCTATATGTTATGCTGGATTTCCCAGTGCGATGAAGGTCTAGACGACCTCGAAGAGGAGGCAGAAATGAGAAGCGAAAAAGAACGGAGATGGATCGAAATCCTTAGCAATCCACTGTACATCAGTCTGGAATGGCTTTGGAGGAACAATCCCAATTCCCAGTACGATAAAGGAATAAGACGTAAAGAAAGCAAGTTTGCAGACATCATTGAAGCTGCCTTGGATGACGCCTATCTTCTGGAGAAAATCGCCTCGTATGAGCACTATTACAGCCGAGATGAATACAAGCGTCGAGCTGAGGAATATGAGACGTTTGCTGCTGATATCGTCGAGCAAGTAGACACTTCAGATTTAAACCAGCTTCACGAAATCATGGACATCGAAGGAAATGGTTCTTTACTGAACAAAACGCCCGCAAATTTTAATCAGAGTCTTAGTCTCCTCAAGCTGGCTGCTGATAAACAGCGGAAAAGGGTTGGTATACGCTTTTATGAAATTTTATCACTTTTGAGACTGCATATTATCAGGTTAAAAGAATTTTCCTGTGACTGTGAATAGTGAGTCGACTTCCATATGTTCCTTCTTTACAACTGAACTCACCTAGTTTATTGCGTTGTTTCCGTGTTTAAGCCAGACATGAATAATAGCATTTCAGAAAACCCTCGCCTCGGATTGAGAAGAAAAATCATAATTATTCTTATTCGGCTCCATTGTTGCAATCAGTCAACGCTTCTTTTACTCTAATTTTTATTTTCTAGGTCTGTTTGTAATTAACGACTAAAATTCTGTTCGCTTTCAGTTCGTGGCAAGCCCCAAATGCCAATATATTCTCAACGAGATTATTTATCGCGGTTGGCTAAATTGGCAAGATAAAGGCGTAGGGAGAAAAGCCTCCCGGTTCCTTATCCAGTTTGTCCTCGTCGCAGTTACTTGCTTCGTTTACATTCCTGTTCGACTGATACGAAGATGCTGTTGTTCTGGTAAAGTTGACGATATCTGCTGCTGGAAGTTTAGGAAGTTATACGAACTTCCCTACTCCAAGTTCATCAACCACACTATGTCTTATGTGCTATTCCTTTGCCTTGTGTTCGCCTCGTCTTTCCAGGATAAGTTTGGAACAACTAAAACAGGCCTGGCTTGGATTGGTAAGTTTCGATGCCCATGATTACTGAGCCACTGAGGTAATGCAACTTCACTAGACTTACTGAGCATTAAACGGCCTAGTTGTTATGCTATTTAGTTGTCTTTGAACGCTTTCTGCATTGATCCGTCACCTTGAGGCAAGGCCCTTCTGACTCATGCATATAAGGACATTATTGCTTGCGACCCATAACCACTAAAAATTTAACTCAACTAAAATAAAAGCGTACCCTTGGAAAGTCAAGAAGCATGAGTTAATTGTAACGGCTACAGATAAGGAGCAATTAATAATCTATTAATTGTAATTCATTAGTCAAACACATTTTCTACTTCCTACCGCTTGTCCAGGACTTTTGTTGGTGAGCCTTAACGGTCGAACTGTGTAAGTGGTTACCTGCCCACTCTCTCAGGGTTGGCACACATTCAATAAAATTTTGACTCAGTTCTTCCTTTCATGTACTCAGCATAAATATACGGCCATGTAGCTTTTTATACGCACAGATTGGCTAGATCAGGTTAAGCCAGGCTATTACCAAAACTACGATAAGATTTAATCAACAGTGCTTGTAGATTCTATGGATCAATTCTGGATGAAAACTGAGCATTATTTTTTGTATTAATTATTATTTTTTGTATTAACTTCATCCTCAGACTATCCAGTGCTTGCCTTTGTTGTGGGCCTATTCCTGCAGGAAGCCCTAGAGGCCACTAGACAAGGATTCTTGAATTACTTTTCCAAATGGTGGAACGTTGTAGACACCATGATTGTCTTTACGTTCCTCCTGTCTTACACAGTATGGCTGAGTGCATGGGGGTATTACGGGGAGTGGAAGCCCAGAAAATCTGCATTTATCGTGGCGGATACCATCTACGCCAGCGCCACGGTGATGGCCTTTTTCCACTTAGCCCACGTTTTCCAAGTCAATTCAGTGTTGGGTCCTTTGCAGCTATCGCTTTACAAAATGCTGAAAGATGTGCTGAAGTTTCTTGTCATTTTTCTGCTCCTCTACATCGCTTTTGCTACTGGGGTGGCCAAGATATACTCGTACTATGTCGCTTCGCAGATCAAACTACGAGAATTGAACGACAGCCACGGCTACAAGGCGTCTCACCCATATGGCAAGTACGTATGACAAAAGATATTCTACTTTTAAACAGAATGATAGTGTCAACTGAACAAAATTAAACCACTGAGTGAATTAAATTTATTATGGATTGAGTTTTACATTTCAGGCACACAAATACTTTCATTGGAATGTTTTGGCTGTTACTTGGTCTGGTGGAGGAAGACAAAATCGTAGTTGAAGATCCTGCGTTTAAATTGTCGTCCACATTTGGCCGCACTTTTATGGTAGCTCATATGATCTGCACCGTCATCGTAGCTTTGAACATGCTGATCGCTATGATGAATAACTCATTTGACAAAATCATGGTACGTTTACTTCTGTGCATCAAATATGGTTTTGGTTATTTGTAACGTTTTCAAGTGTTTCAATCCTGCAGCGTCTGTAAATTTTAAGGCGTTGAATAACGGTTTCGGTGTACGAACTTAGAAAACAAACGAAAGATCCTAAGAAAAACGAAGAAAAGAATTAACAAGAAAAAGGAAAGAAGAACTAGAACTTAAATGATTTAGCAATCGTGATAGACAATTTAGTATCTCTGCCAAAGCACGTGGGAACGAAATAACCAGCCAGTTCTATATGTACTTACGAACCTTAGGTCTGATCATCTCGTTGCCATCAGTAATTAGTTTTTAAACAACTTTCTAGGTAAACGTTGCCATGAACCTTATACCACTTAGAATACACTTTTCTTGCAACTGAAATCTTGTGGGCTTTTCTTAGGAAAACGCACTTGTAGAGTGGAAATTCTCGAGAACTCGTATGTGGCTGGAGTGGATCGACAAAGGCAACACAGTTCCCGTGCCTTTCAACATTCTTTACCTTCTTTTGTACTGTCTGTGTCCAAAGAGCTGGCGTAACACGTTTTGCTCTAACGAGGTAACATTGTGGCTAAAGTTTGCAATCACCTTGTTTGATTTTTATTTATTTATTTATTTATTTATTTATTTATTTATTTATTTCTACTGGTTTAGTGTCCACCAATCAAAGTTTAAACGAGAAAGTAATTTCTACATATGCTTTAAAGTAGTTTGACTACATACCTACCAACAATTCTTGAATTTTTTTCTCTTGTTGGGAATTGTAAAGCTGGTTCACAGCCACCTTAAATTTTCGAAAATCTTAACCCTATGTAAAAAATTATTTAAACTTTGTCAAAATTAAAGTTGCACCTTATCCTGCTAATCAAAATTCGATAATATAAAAAAGGCTTTCATCATGCCGTTTTTGAAATATAAGGACTTGAAGTTAAAATTAAGATTGTTTTAGCAGTTCATAATGGTGCTATGACAACTTATTGTGTCACGAACATGAAACCAACGTTTTCAGCAATGACTGGGCAGGTTTTTGATACCATGACTATAGCATGAACTGATAAAGTGTGGTAATAATGACCCATCAAAATCTACGTCTTGGAAAGTGCTGAAAACTGTTTTGAGCCACCTTTAAAGGTATCAACTAAAAAATTGACCAAGTCATAAGAAATGCTACTGAAGTCTCTCACCTGATACCAAGTCACTATGTATAAATCTGCATGCGTATCAGTGCTAAACCTTTCATGTGTTGTCTTCCTATTCATTGTGTTCCTATTAACATGACAGTTATAAATTTTTAAAAAAGCATATGAAAATAAACTTTCAATGAATCAGTGACCTGGCACTTATGCTGGAGAACAATACAATCACCACTAAGTTCACTATTTGACTGGTTGACTGACGCATTGCGACCAAAATTAAGTTGCCATTCAGTTCAAATACGCTGGCCTCGCGTTAATTGATTGTTGACTTTTTTAAAATACATGTAAACAAAGTAAATTATTGTTGTCCCGCCAAAGCAATCATTTACCTTACCTATCAAACTCATTTACTTTATTTAGAGGCCAAATGACCCGGAGCAAAGCAGCTTGCATCTTCAGGTAAGTGGAAAAGCGGGCTGTGCACGGGTATAGGTTACTTATTATAATCGCCATGTAAGCAATATCAGACCTAATAACTCAATCACTCAGCTAGACATACATTTCGTGATTATCGTATACTAAAAAGTCGAACTATATAATTTTCCACTTCCTAATTCCTTATACACGTGGAAAGGTTACTCTGCAACAGATCACTTAATTACCCCTTTCCCACTTCCGGGAAAGGTTGAGCACAAATCACAGGGGGTCAGATGGTCCAATTGTCAGTTAGGTTGCGAACTGATCTCACCAAGCAGAAGACGAGCGGCGCCGAGCTTTCGAGCCCCCTACTATACATTGGTTGTTAGGAAACGCTCTGAACCATGTTCAGAGCAATCAGCAATCAGCTGAAAGTTATTAACTTAACATTCATCTTTATACCTATGTCTGTAATCATTGCCACTGCGTAAAATTCATTTATTGTCAAGCTTCACGGTCAGCAGCTCTCTGGAACTTGAAACAGTGCATCCGACCGCTCAAATTGTGATAGCCCGGGAATAAGTTGTACCAAATATCTAGCTAAGGAAGCGCAGATTTAATCACATTTTATCAAAACAAATATTTTAAAGAAGTTGAACAAGTAAAAGTGCTGCTTATTCATGATATATTTAGGAAGAAAATTAGGTAGGGCAAAACTGGGTTATGACCATTTTTCTTTTTCCCTTGATTTTGCCAATACTCTTTCTCTTCATTTCTCATGAGTTGTCTGCATTGTGAATCTGAAAAGAAAATAGTAAAAATGCTCACACTCAAATTTTTTATTCTGCGTTGTAGGTTTTTCCCTACTGCTGTAGCAGCTGTATTTGTTCTTGTGGTATCTGCAGGAGCACGTTTGGATACACTTGTTGCTCGAGGGTGAAACATTCCATGAGAGAGGTACGCTCATGCTATTTTTTTTGCTTTATTTCTATTTTGGAAAAGTTACATACTCCTTCCAAACAATAATCTTTTTTCTCAAAGTTTCCAATTTTTATAATATATGCCGGCCGTATCTTGACATCATGAGGCATGACAGTTTTTAGTATTGGTTTTTATCTTGACGAGCTTAGAGCAGTAAAACGTAAAAAAAAACCAAAGTTATCACTGTAGCCAATCACAATGGACACACACAAAAAAATAAATGGACACACAAAACGGTCAACCAATCAAAAGTTGACGTAATTACATGTAGCTGACGCAAAGCGCGGGAAAACGAGTGCGATTAAGTCACGATTGGTTTTGGTTTTACTTCTGATTGGATGAAAAAGTGAGTGGCGCGAATTTTTTAAGCCAATCGTGTAGCGTAGTTGATACAAAACCAATTACTTTTCGATACTGAAATGAAAACTGCTCTACTGAGTTGGTTTTATGTGTTAATTTCTTTGCGGTCTACATCAAACACTCAGTCCCAGATCCCGAAAGCTTCATAAGCAATCGTCAAGTTCAAAGACTGGTTTAGTGACATCTTTCATCGCTGCTACAAGCTACAGCTAGCTCTTATGATACACATTGCTTTTGCTAAATCAAACATTTTAGTCCAAGCATATTTTCTTTACATTTCTGGTACAGGAACGCATGGAGGAAATAAGAAAACTGGTTGTGAAATATCTCAAAGACCGGTACTCAGCTAGATGGAAAGAGCTTACCGCGAAAACAGCAGAACATCGAACGACCAGTGAAAACATCTAATATTTCACATCGACGAGAACTAAGTTTTAAGGGCTACATCCTTTAATCAGCTGTGGTAGACGCACATATGGGAGTATTTTATTTGCCAGTTTCTCTCATACCATAAGACTATCAATACACGCAAGCAAAATCTGGAAAGACTAAAAGTAAAATTTTGAAGTAAAATTTAGAAGTTTTAATGCGAAGAAATAGGGGTACCAAAGGCAGCCTCAGGCTTATTTTAATATTCCTTTGTTTTGGTTTTGGTTGCTTTTTGCAGATTTGTCTATTGCCCAGTCGTAGAAATCGGCGTACAATTTTTTCTTTAAGAAATAAGCGCAAATTACTGCAAAAAAGTGTAACCAAACTTTCTGAACTGAACACAAGAAAACCTTGAGGGAAAGTTGTTTTGTTACCTCGTAACAGTGACATTATAAGAACAGGAATTAGCCATGAGAATCAGACTATATAGCCTGAACTTCTGAACTACCAGGCTGATCTGTTAACTAAACGGTTGATACAATACCTGGGATAGAATTTACAAACTTATTGGTTATCTAGCCGTTAACAGGCTCTGGAAAGTTTAGAGCATTTTTACAGACCTTTCCAGCAACAGTGAGGCGTAGGCCAATCAGAAACAAATATCTGAGTTTCGAGTCAACCCAGGTAAAAATGCATATATTTTTTGGTTCATAGGTTGTCGTTAAAGGTGAAACATTAGAGCTTTTAAATACACTGATTTACAGCCGGGGAATTTAGCATGCGAACTGTTAAAGCGTTCAAGGTTTAAGCCGTGGTCAAACGACCCATGATAGTTGATTCTCCCCTCACTATCATCAAGTATCATATGCGGGCTCAAACGGGAAAGCTACCATCGACTATCATGAAGAATTTGAACAAGCTCAAAGTGAATGATAGTATATGATTGTTTTTGGTCAAATGGAAGCGCACGCCACAACTATCATCGACTATCACCAACTATCATGCACCGTTTGACCAGGGCTTTAGTCTACAGGATGGCATCTCAAATAATTAATGTCGTTTGGACTTTTTTAAAGCACCTGTGTCGCATAAAATCTGGTTAATTACAGTCAATTGTTTCTCTAGAAATTAACCTAGTAACGCTCAACCATATAAGAACGAGAGGTTACTGTATTTTGTTTTATCAAACACGAGAGTCCGTGTTTCATTAAATATCCAGACACCGAGAAGATCTGCGGAGATAATTGAGATCTGGAACATTTACTGATAGCCGGACAAATAAAATCCTTCCGAGACGATGAACCGATAAAAAGGAACGGTAAAGCCTGTGCCAGACTAGAACGAGTGTCGCCGATACCTGCAGTTGAGATTTGTGCTAGAGTTTTCTCAATTTAACCTCGGCAAGCTTAGACTTTAAAACGATAAAAACTCTCATGAACCCGAAAGAAAAACCGTTCAGACAGTTCACATTTGATGAGAGCGTACAAGTGTCAGGCAGAGTCGCCGAAACAATATCAGAGTTTCAGACTAAGATCGAGCACTTTTCTCCTTCACATCGGTTCAAAACTTAAGGCTGCCTTTGCATAAGCTTCATTTATCTTTTAAATCTGTAATAAAAGGGAATAAATAATAAAATATATACGAATCGAAGTTGATATTGTCGTTGGTGCGCCCTTTAAACAAGATCCTGTTTTACTTAATTTAATTTTTGTGAAGGAACAGGTATCAGACGATTTAACGTCATTCTAACTTAAACTACTTGCTCACAACGTTAGACATAATGATTACCGATCAAACCGTGTATAGAAAGCTGCTACAAGCACCTCCAAACTTCCCAAAAACGATGAAATAGACCAAACGGACAACAGAAACCAGTTTAGGTGAGTATACTTTCTTTATTTTATTCAAAAAAAGCTAACATTTTATTTCGTCACGCGTTTAATTTTTATCCCTCATTATTTAAAACTCCTTGCAGTGCCTTGTAGAACGCTAAAATTCTCAACGGCCTGAACTGTAACACAACATCGCGTACTTTAGGTAGTCACGTTCCACTCGATACGCTTACATAAATCTATTTCTGGGAGGCCTGTGATTTTACATGCCTGATATTCGACAAGTTCACGTTGCAATTAGTTTATCATTAATTCAAACCTTAATGTATATTATGATCATATTTCAGTACCTTATGATTGAACAATAACCAGATTGCTTAGTCTTGAATGATTTGGCTGAATTGTCTTATTAGCTGGAGCAGCTCCAGTGGTTTAGCGCTAAGCCAGGTCCTTTTGGTATTAGCCAGGCAGGGTGGGTTACTAGATTCACTTTCGTGTTCCAGTGGAAAAACAATGCTTGTTGTTGAAATTTTGGTTAATTTGGCTGAAAAGGCTGTGCAATATCAGTGAAAATCATGCAGTGAAAATATTGAGTGTTGTTTGATTGGAAGAATTTACCAAGTACTCTGATTTCAACTAAGTTTGCTTTCAACTAAACATTACTAATGATTAACTAATCCAACTGAAACTGGGAAGCCCCAGGCCGGGGGGACCCAATTAAAAAACAAACCAACCTTCGGTTATAATTAATTCCTTAGAATGTTTATTTCTAAGCTAATATACTGGCAGACCTTGCTCTTTTGCAGTGGATTAGTTCCAAAATAGCATGGCGAAAGTCTTTGTTCCTCAGAGAGTAAACCACTGGATTAACCATTCCATTACTACAGGCTAACCATACACTGACAACATCCAGCTTCTCTATAATACAAGAATGACTTCTTCTTGCATAAAAGATTTCCACAATCAAAACTGGTATCCATATAATGACCAGAAACATGATTACAAGGCCAACAGTTTTTGCCATTTTAACTTCTACTCTAGTTTCTATCACTGTATCGGAAGCAGCAGTGGTGCCCGGATGCACCCGGCCACGTGACAAAAGTTGTTGGCGATTCTCCACCGCTTTCTTGTAGATCTTGTAGTACAAAGTACAAATTATCAACAATGGGAGAGCTATGTGCACCGCCAGAAACGCGTAGTAAAATTTACAGTTCACGTCCCAATCATACGTTTTTCCCAATGCTGTTTTAAAGGAAAGTACTCTCATCAGTATTACCACAACCACTACGTACAGCCAAACCAGTGTGGTAATCACCAAGGTTCTGCCCCAAGATACAACTCCTCTGTAGCGCACGAGAGACATGACTGCCCTGTAGCGATCCACTGTGATCACCAACACAGCGACAAACGAACCTGCTATCGAGAAAAACCAAACTGAATTAAAAACATTCGTTTCTCTGGGACCCAAAGGCCATTCTGGATACGACCAAACGTATATAAGTTCCAGTGGTATCAGTCCGAGTGAGATGCATATATCAGTCAGCGCCAAACTCAATAGGTAGCCATTGGAAGGCCTGCGGAGTCTTCTATCGACGACAATGGCGACGGAAACTAAGATATTCTCGGCGACGGACAGCACAAATGTCACGACAAACAGAATGGATATAGAAATCTGGTAGTCCAAATTGAATTTACACGCCTTTGTTTCGGTAGTTTCGTTCGTTGATGGGTTCATCTTTCTAGAAAAGATTTTCTCGGTTCTGCAGCTCGAGGGTCTAGCACCGTCGTTGTAGACTGCGAGGGAGCAAATGTATTTCCCAGAATTTACATTTATCGCCCATGCATGACCTTAGCTGACACAAATGGGCATAAAGTATCGTGACAGTCGCCTATTTCCGGGAAAACCTAGAGACTAGCAGTTTGCTGCTTTAGGCAATGTTATATTTCTGTCTGCTCGAAAGGGTTCTGAACATTTAATATAGTACGAGATCTCGTCTGGAGCAAGAAGGTAAACTTGTTATCCTGTTTTAATTACATGACGTTACAGCAAGAAACATTTCGAACACGTTCATAATATAACTGATTGTATCTGTTCTCGCTTGCATGGAATGGATGGTTTTCACGTGACGTCATCAAATTCCAAGATCCAAAACTAAAGAGCCTTAAAAGTTTTATCCTCATCAGGCATAAGGGGATCTAAATTTACATCTGTTTACAACCTTTCAGCTCAAAAGCGTGCTTAGTTCGGAAACCTGTGCAGTTTAAAGGTCAGAGTTATGGCGGTGCGTGATATACCGCTCCGATCGCATTTGTGGAAAAATATACACTTATGTAGTGATGTTTAGCCTTTTAAGGACTTAAAGTGTTAGGAAAAGTGCTTGTGTAAATGGTTGTTGGTTCAGTTCATATAATCAGTCGCCTAGATGGCCAAAGTAAGTTCCAGATGTTTACACGGTTTTTTGGCCGCCATGTTGGTGGAGCACAGAGCTCCACCAACATGGCGGCTCTATACTGGGCTAAATTGGCGCAAAACATTTCGACGAATATCTAAAGTTTGGGAAAACGCAGAGACCTCGAACTTGGAGAAGTGTCTTCTTTACCTATCTCCTATAATCTTACAATTTCTTAACTTTATCCACTGAATAGTTTTTGATTTAATTTTTTGTTGCGTGACAGTGAAAACCATCTATTTTCAGTGACTAAGAATTAACTGTGACGTCCAAGAACAATCAAGTTTGCTTACACAGGACGCTAAGATGACGTGGAAAAGTCTGCGCTGCTGTCAATGTGTTTACCAAGACGCCGTTGTCAGTGCAGCGAAACGTACAAGCCGCACACACAACGCTGGTCTACGACCAGCGTTAGCAGACGGGGGTTCCAACCGCAGTCTCGCACACGCCGGGCGAAAACGACAGTTTCGATTGTTCGTGCTTGGACGATTGTTAAGTCATTATTGAACCCAGGGATTAGTTACGTCCGAGTTAGTTTTGTTTATTTAAAATCTTTAGAACATAACCGGAACGTTGAGGATCTTCATTAATTACAAACGGGCTTTCACAGTAACGTTAATGCTAATAATAATAAAATAAAACATACTTTGCTATAACGCAGATCAAGTGACAATTTCTTTCCCGTCAACCAATTAGCATTAACTTTTATAGTTGTAGATCAAGTTGGAGATTAAGTATCTAATTGCTTCGACATTCCTTTCCAGGAAAATAGAACGAAGACACTCGAACAGTCTGTAAAGTAGTATGGCGCAAGAAGTTTCCCTCGCAAATCAAGACGCAAAAACCATCGAAAACTTTCTGAAACTAGTACAGACAAAAACAAAGGAGGAGGTAGAAAAATTCTTGTCGCCTCTAACTAATACGGCTGAAAACGGGAGGGATTCTCAGGACGAGACTTTAAAGCAACTTAAAGACGCTCTGACACAAAGCGATGTTGTTGAAGTTTGGAAACTCATAGTCAAGATCAGAGATAGCAACAAGACAATTGATGAGTTCTGCATAACCATCGCAGAGAGGGAGAACAACAAAGAAAATGGATGTCATTTCAAGTGCAGTTGGGATTGCAAGAAAATCTGCGAAACAGTAAAGAATTCAATATGCCATATGTTTGCGTGGAATGTCGACGAGCTTGAAGAGACGAAGACAGAAATGCGAAACGAAAACAACCGGAGATGGATCGAAATTCTCAGCAATCCACTGTACATCAGTCTCGAATGGCTTTGGAGGAATAATCCAAATTCCCAGTACAATAAAGGAGAAAGCCGCAAAGAAAGCAAGTCTAAAGACATCATTGAAGCTGCCTTGGATGATGCATATCTTCTGGAGAAAATCGCCTCGTATGAGCACTATTACAGCCGAGATGAATACAAGCGTCGAGCTGAGGAACATGAGACGTTTGCTGCTGATATCGTCGAGCAAGTACACACTTCAGATTTAGCCCAGCTTCACGAAATCATGGACATCGAAGGAAATGGTTCTTTACTGAACAAAACGCCCGCTGATTTTAATCAGAGTCTTAGTCTCCTCAAGCTGGCCGCTGATAAAAAACGGAAAAGGGTTGGTATACGCTTGGATGAAGTCATATTGCGTTTCGTAAAATTTACCTCATATTCTAATAGATCATTTCACAAGCTGTGAAGGATTAATTAGAAATGCAAATATATTGTGAGTTCTAGGAAATGATCTCAGTAAGTAAATACCTCAGCATATGTGCAGAAGACATCAGCCTCAAATTTCACAAATTGCGAAGGATTAAAATGCAAAATGCAAAGTGAATTGTGAGTTCTTGGAAATGATCTCAGTATGTTAACACCTCAGAATATGTGCAGAAGACATCAGGCTAAAATTTAACAAATTGTGAAGGATTAAAATGCACTGTTTGGCAATTAATGATTTCAATTCTGTTCATTTTCAGTTTGTGGCGAGCCCCAATTGCCAATATGTTCTCAACGAGATCGTTTATCGTGGATGGCGAAATTGGCAAGATCGAGGCATAGTCAGGAAGGCCTCGTGGTTCCTTATTCAGTTTTTCCTCGTCGCAGTTACCTGCATCTTTTACATTCCTGTTCGAGTGGTACGGCTACGCAGCTGTAGCAAATTCAAAGATGTCTGCTGCTGGAAGTTTAGGAAGTTATACGAACATCCCTACTCTAAGTTCATCAACCACACTATGTCCTATGTGCTATTCCTTTGCCTGGTGTTCGCCTCATCGTTTCAGGAGGAGTTTGGAACAACTAAAACCGGCCTGGCTTGGATTGGTAAGTTTCTCTTCTGAAGGTCAGTGTAGCCACTGTTGGGGGCTGCCAGTCCATTAGATATTTAGCAGAGTAACGACCACTCACTGATGGCCTAGAAATTATGCCATTCAGTTGCCTGAACGCTTTTTTTTTTTCATTGATCAGTCACCTTGAAGCCTAAAGGCCATACTCAAGCAATTCAAAGATGTACGTTATTGCATTCAAGGAAACTAAAGGCACTTTAAGTGCACACATAATAATTCTTCTTCACTGAAAAAAACCTATTTTAGTAAGAATCTCCAAGTTTTGCAAATAATCCCAATGGAAAGATAGTACATTTTCTACGTCCTACCGGTTGTCCTAGACTTTTGCTAGTAGACCTAAATGGTCAAACTTTATTAGGCTTGTATTTGTTCTCCCAGGATTGCCACACTGTAAAAGCACACTGGCTCAGTTCTTGACGTTATGTACCAACAGTCTAGACACTGGCCAGCGTTTGCTATAACAACAATTACGTTGGGGAAAAAGTTCTTCTCCCGAAGGGCCAAAATTGTTCTCTGTTTGAATTTTATTCGCAGACTATCCGGTGCTTGCCTTTGTTGTGGGCCTATTCCTGCAGGAAGCCTTAGAGGCCAGCAGACAAGGATTCTTCAATTACATTTCCAAATGGTGGAATGTCGTAGACACCTTGATCGTCTTTTCGTTTCTTCTCGCTTACACAGTGTGGCTGAGTGCATGGGGGTATTACGGAGAGTGGAAGCCCAGAAAACCTGCATTTATCGTGGCGGATACAATCTACGCCAGCGCCACGGTAATGGCGTTTTTCCACTTAGCCCACGTTTTCCAAGTCAATTCAGTGTTGGGTCCTTTGCAGCTATCGCTTTACAAAATGCTGAAAGATGTCCTCAAGTTTCTCGCCATCTTTCTGCTCCTCTACATTGCATTTGCTACTGGGGTGGCCAAGATATACTCGTACTATGTTGCTTCGCAGATCAAACTA